TATATATCGTTTCCTTTCTTTTTGATTTAGGCTTTTGTTGGTCCTCTTCCACAAGGCTTCCTGAAATTAGAAGATCGTAATGCACAGCAACAACAAGAAGCAGCTGATCAACAAGCTGCATTGGCTTTGCATCAATTACAGATGCAAAGTACTCCTATGTTACCTGACCCACGTATGGGCAAACTTAGTATAACAATTGCCCAGGTTAGATTGTATTAACAACAAATTCAAATATTTCTTATTGCAAATTATTGTTCCCGCGTTAATAGATAACAAGTTTAAAGTATATTACGCAAAGATAATGTTATGATAAATATTTTTATAAATTACAGGCAAAATTAGTAAAAAATTATGGGATGACAAGAATGGATCCATATGTTAGATTAAGAGTTGGCCATTCGATCTATGAAACACATACAGATTCAAACGGAGGAAAAAATCCACGTTGGAATAAAATTATACAATGGTTTTTATAATTTCTTTCTATTTTTTTTTTTTTATTAAACAACGTGTCTGAAGTTTTCACAGCTAAACTTTGTTAGTATAATATATATATTCTATTCATGAAAATAAGAAATAATAATGAAATTGGCTTTAAATTTCGTCGATTATGTATAACGTTTTTTACGCTTATATATGATGTTCACTATCTTTAAATTATTTAGCGAATTTGAATCGATATTGATTCTCTTTAACTTTCTTTTTCTGGAATACTACTAATCGAAATGCCAATAGTGTATTTGTAAACTAAAAATATGCGGACATTCATTACTTATATAATTCGTGCAACGAAATTAGTAGAGCTGCTGTAAATATCAATGCAAATTTTTTGACAGAAAAATACCATATGGATCAATATTTTCGAATATGCATTCACATAGGTGTTCGATACTTTGAACAAAAAATTAGGTAATTTACAATTTATATCATAACTTTTGAATAAGGCTTTAAACAACCTATGTTTGTAGAACATTTTTTTCTTATTTTCGTGTATAAAATATGCTTACACTGCTTGGCTGAAAAAACTTCAGAAACACTGTATAAAGTAATATAGAAATATAAATGAAACATATTTTATCACATATTATATTACATTTTATAGTTTTTTACCGCCAGGAGTTACACAAATATATGTAGAAATATATGATGAATGTTCTTTTGTAATGGATGAGTTAATCGCATGGGGTCATATAGACATACCACCTAAAGTTCTTCAAGGTACTGAAACACATGAAGATTGGTATATGCTTAGTGGCAAGCAAGGCGATAACCTGGAAGGCATGATTAATTTAGTTTTTAGTTATATGGTAAATGTCTTCTTAAAAATATTTATACTTTCATAGAGATTTCATCGATTAAAAAATATTAAATTTAATTTTATCTCACTTATTAGATGGAATAACATTATTGTTTTCTAGCCTAAATGTCCTTCGTATATGCCTGGACCTGTAATGATGGTACCTTCTACGGCAATGTTTGGTATGACATCATATGCACCTGTTAATGTATATACCACACCTCAACCAGTATCAACTATTGCAACACCACCTGTTGTACCAAGTTTGCTACCAAATGCTGAAGTGGAATTAAAACAGGTAATTTATATATTATTTATGGTGATAAATGACTTCTAGAATAAATAATATTCCCTAAATGATGAAAAAAGTTCTAATAAACATAGGTAAAAACTCGATATTTTTAATGCTATGAATAAATTTTTATTTCTGTTGATGCGAGTACGCTTTTCCCTCTTTGAAAGCGTACCCTCGCGTTTCCTCTTTGCATAAAAACAATCCTTTAAGTGTCTTTTTATTTTATACACGTTTCATAACACTACAGATAATAATGTAATCCATTGTTTCCGTATGGTATGACAGCTTCCAAAGCAGGAAAGTTTCCTTCTTTAACTAAAAGGAAGAGTTAGTTAACTCATGTTTATTAGAACTTATTTTTTTTTCATTTGAGAAGTACTATTTATCTTATAAATTTATAACCTTTTTTATCACTTTGCATATTGCAATATTATATCATAAATTTTGTTTATATTTTTTCAGCTTGCGGAGATGTTTCCAAATATTGACAAAGAAGTTATCAAATCAGTATACGACGTTAATCAAGGGAAAAAGGATATAACTATAAATTCGCTACTCCAAATGTGTGAATAAATTTGAAAATTATTCTATACAAAGAATTCTATGCAATATGTTATATAGACTATATTGGATCGATGTATCACGGGATACTACAAGAGAATATAAAGCGGATATTTGCTACTATAACGATTACCAATTTATTGATTGCTTTGAGAAAAAAAATACTGTAGAATGAAAATAACAGCGATACAGGCTTTGCATGATTTCATTATGCAAACATTCAAAAAACCAGAAAAGTTCTATGATGTGATACATTTGCCTTCTTCTGCCTTTGCTAATGTCTCATTATAAGATTTTTCAAACAATCAGAAATTAATTTGAGCCTTATAGTAAACGTTTCAATATCCCTGTCTACTATATTGTTTCGTGTAATATATTTCTTGTAAATTTAATTATATTTTTAAATTAGTCATATTTATTTTATTCTTCTATACATCTCATCTATACAATAAAATAGACGATGTTAAGAAAATATATTATTAAATATTATATGTATTACGATAACGTAGTCGTTGAGTTATGAATACAATTGAATTTTGCATTTAACAGTAGCAGAAGCAGATGTAAAAATATTAAACATAACATTGTATTAACTTATTTGAAATAGTATCTTTATAAAATTATCCTAGATATTACTATTTCCAGGAATTAAAATTTTTTTATATAATTTCTATATATATATATATATCAATT